CGGGAGGGGGAGGAGCAGAGCCGAGGGGGGTGGGCGAGCCGGGAAAGCCGAGCGAGGCGAGGGCTGGAGAGGAGGAGGAGGAGGAGGAAGAAGAAGAAGAGCGAACCCCGAGCGCTGTCCCGGAGTCATTTCAGCGCCGAGGAAAGAACGAGAGAACGAGAGGCGGAGGAGAAGCAGCTGCTGCTGCCTGGCAGGGAGCGCGGAGCACCCGGCAGCCAGCCTTCCCCCCCTTCTCTCCCTCGCCCAACAGGGTGGCGGCGAATCAGAACCTGAGGAAGGCGAGCTGCAGTGCCTTGCCCGGGCACTAGGGGGCGACCTCGCTACCTTCTCTCTCTCTCTCTGCCCACGCCTCGCCTGGCGTGGTAACACGGGAACCACACACACACACACACACCCCGTCGAGCGTTCCCACGACCTTTTGTGCCGCCGGGAGAGCGCGGGGCAATTGGCTCCTTGCCTTTTCGCCTGTTCTCCTCCCCCTCCCTCTCTCTCTCCCCCCCTCCTTCGGCCACCGACTCCGCCGCCCCGTACGCGCGGGCTCCGCTCTTCCTTCCTTCCTTCCTGTCTCTTCGTCTTAGATAGCAATTAATATCCCATGAATATGAATAATGATGTCGCCCTTGGCTCTCCGCGCAAATAATAAAGCACTTGAAAGGGAAGCTTGATGCCTTCCGATGGTTTCCTGGAGATGACTGCAGGGGCTGTGAGATGGCTGGAGAAATGGGGCGTGAAGTCTGGCACCCGAGATAAGAGAAGTTGGGTTACAGGGCTTAGAGAGAGACGGAGAGTTGGCTGGCGCGCTGTTCTTAGACGGGGGAGCGGCCTTTATCGTGGCTGGCGGGGTGTGCGAGTGTGTGTGCGCGCGGAATGAAAGCGAGCGAGCGAGAACTCGGGACAAGAATCTGGAGTTCAAAAGCCATCCTCGCTCCTGCTGTCGCTGTTTCCCCCCTTCCTTTCCGAGAACACCATCCTTAAAGAAAAGGAAAAAAAAAATAGTCCAGTCACTCCGGATTGGTTAATTCGGTATCAAGGGCTCCCACTCTCTCTTCCAGGCTTCGCTCAGGAGCGAAGATCACGAAACCTCTCGCCTCCAGAAACAGCAGGCGCGGAAAGAACCGGCGGCCAGACGAATCTGCTCTCTTCCCTGGTCCTCAGACCTCGCACCTGTCAGAACAAAATTGCTGTTTCAAGGGGGCGCCTTCAGCACCCCCCCCCAGCCCTCCCGATGATGGGACGGCAACTCCCATCATCCTCAGGGAACTGTGGCACTGGCCACAGAACATCTATGAACCATACAAACTCTAGGTGAAAACCTTACCGACTCACACGCCACTGCCCCTTCTTAGTGTTATTTATAGGGAGAGTGGGGGGACTAGGGTTGAGGGGAGCGAAAGGTCCCTGGGGTTAATTAAGAAGGGAGAACCAGGGAGTTCAGTGCCGAGGGGTCATTAATCTATCGTGATAAATAATGTTGGTTCATTATTCCATATACCCATTCTGAAGTTTTGATTTCCGGGCCCCGGGCTGGTCCCGAGAATCAGAGTTAAGTTTGCGATCCTATGTGCTCATCTGGAGACAAGGACCATTGGACTTAATGAGTGTTACAGCTGAAAGGAATTGCACTGTTAGGGTGCTCCAGTAAGGCACATATTGAAGATCAACGCAGTGGCTAGTAAGAGAATTAATAAAACTATGCAGTGGTCATCCTGCAGAGAGGTTGACAGACACAAAGTCCCCGTCCTAGTCTTCTCAAGGACGAACTCTCCTCTAAAAATTCCAAAGTTTAGTGTGTGGCCTGCAGGGGGCACTTTTCCAGGATTTTGGTTTGATTCTAAATCCCCAACCAGATTTTCACAGTGTATGTTGGAAGAGAGGGTCGGTCGGGTTGGGAAGAAGGATAGGGTTATAGTCAGAGGCTGTGTTGATCCGCACTAGTCTACCTATATGCTACAAGAAGCATAATTTGGGCAGTCTGCTTAACTGAATTATGCTCTTCGTGAGGATGCCCTCCTGGTAACGCAAAAATAATCCAGACCTACTCGGTGTGTATAAAATCCAGTCTTGGGTTTTGGGTATCTTTGATCAAAACTCTGCTGGGAATTCTCTCTAATAGAGTTGGCCCTATGAATAGGCAGAATGAGACAATGGTGGCTGGAGATTCCAAGCTCACAGGCGCCTTGAATTCATTCCAAGGTTTAGTCTGCATTTTACAGGAGCTATCCCAGGTGCTGAACCTTATCACCATCACCAGTTCAGCACCTCAGAGAACTCCTGTTAAATGCAGACTGAAACCTAGAATGGATTCGTAGCACCTCCAAAATTAGGATCATTGGTTTCCACTAGCTTCAGGGGTGGAGCGGGGTGGAAGCAGCAGTTGTCCCTGAATCTACTGGCAGGATTAAGTTCTTGAGTGTCCTGAACCCTAAACAACCCAGTTGCTGTCTGGTGGAATGGAACATCTTGTTGTATCATCATCTGGGTTTCTCTGTATGGGATGGAAAAGGGAGAAATGTCTTCTTCACCTCAAGCAGCAAGAGGAGTTGAGCCAACCCTGCCTTCTGAGCCCTTGTAGTGAGCAAGATGGGGCAAATCTTGATCCCTGGTTGAGATCCTTCTCATACACTTGACTGTGTAAGGCAGGTAGGCAGCACCATAGCAGGACAGACATGGGACCCTGTGATGATACCTATGTTGACTGATATCTGTTTCCTTTTTCCTGTCATGACATTTGGAATATTTGGAACTGTGTGATTTCCAGAGATAGGAAGAGTTACTTTTTTTAAATGGTAGCTCCCATAATACCTCAGCCAGCATGACTGTGGCTATTTTATAAGAAATTCAGAGTGATGGGGAGGGAGGAAGCCGAGCAGGTGAATGGCAATCTCCAGTCTTTAAAAATGGAGAATCACACGCACATATACACACAGAGGACTTGGAGCGGTTACCTTTTGGACTACAACTCCCATCATCCAGCATGGTGAATGGTTGTGGGCTTCTGGGACTTATAAACCTGGTGGCTGGGGCCTTCTGGGAACCGTCATCCCCAAAGTCACTTTCTTGTTGTCTATGGTCACTTCAGGGTGATGGACAATAGAGAAGAAGACGAGAGAGAGAGAGAAAGAGAAAGAGAGAGAGAGAGATCCTCTGCTTTTGAAAATGACAAAAATGACTCACACACACACAAACAGGGTTTGAAGAAGGTGCAGGCTGGCAGGGGCTTGCTGGGATCCATACTGGCAGAAAGCAACTTTTCCGAGTTCCACAAGCAATTCCCTCTGCTTGAAGCAACGGGAAAGCCTGGCATTTGCTTGGGCAACTTCTAACAAGCAGAGCTCCTGCACGGCACCTCTCATTACTTGTTGAGGATGGCTGTGATTTATCATCTTCCAAAGGAGGAAACAGAGAGAGAGAGAGAGGGAGAGTCGATCCTCCCATGAATGCTCTAGTCTAGCGGAAAAAGAAAAGGACTTCATTTGTCCTGCCAAGTGTCTGCTCCCTTGGAACACGTCAGGGTGATTAATACCAGCCCCTGACATTTTGATACTAATCTCTAAAATATTGTTTCGACTTGGAGGCCTTGCTTTAGAACATTGTAATAAAAAAGCTGATTGGTGATTAAGTGCCTCTAGATAAACTGCACTGGAGACTGGATGTAACCAGGATGGAAACCATAATGGACTTTCCTGACAGTTGTGACTGCATATATCATACTGGGAGGGGGGCCCCCAATAGTTTTTGGGCCCCAATCTCACTGCAGATTCATGGAAAAACAGGTCCTGGGAATGTTAAGAGTGTGGACTACAACTACCCAAATCCCCAAACAGTAATGGCCAGCAGGACTTGTCGTCCAAAATAACTGTAAGCTCCATTAAAATGCTGGTAGGAACGTTAGATGGGTCCAAGCTATGTTTCCTCCATGCTCTTGTGCAGGAATGGGGAATCATGTCAGGTGGTTATTTTTCATCACACAGAAATGGGAGATTTTGCCTCTACAAGGAGGCACCTTGTAAGAGCCTCCAGTGATCCACAGACCAACCCTCTGAGGCCTGGATTGGGCCAATGGACTAGAGGTTCCTTTCTCTTCCCTTTATCTGTAGTAAGTGTCCTGGTTTGGAGGGCAATGGTCAAACTTTGTCTTTCATAAATTTCAATAGATATCTCTCTTCTTGGTAAAGGATCAACATCTGTTTTTTTAATTAAATTCATCATCATGCCGGCCCTGGGAGGGGCTGATTAGTATCTTTTCGGCTGTGGTTTCCAGTTCTCAGTGATGTAACAACAAGAAACTAAATTGCATTTTTCTGTGTATGCCTTCCTGTCCCCATTGATAGTATTGGTTATGCTGGCAAACAAAAAGACACATGGCCTTCAGAGTGATGTCCCCCACAATTAAGCAGCTCCACTCCATTTGATGTCAACTTAGCCGCTAGCATGCAGAACTTTAAGAAGACTTATATTTATATGTACATGTATGCTAGGGGCTAAGTTGACATCAAATGGGGTATATATATAATTGTTGCCTTTCGAAAAGAG